CTGAGTGACTCCATAATGTACTCTGCGTTATCCATTAAGCTTCTGTCACACAAAGACAGTCATTGCAAACATACAGAAAATGTAGCATCTGTAATTAAATAGTGAATATTAATTTCTTTCTATGATACCTTTGTTCAGGTACAACAGTTGACACATCCGGGTTAAAGGTGAACAATATTTCTAAGGCAGAAAAGTGAAAAGATGTTATTTTGTATTTGGAAATTGAGCCCTTCTGTCTCTATTTCAGATACCTGCAAAGTAGCATTATATCACCATCTTCACCTCACATACACATTGTGCTTAGCATGCATCATCAGTGCACCTGCTTTATTGACTTAACAATTGGTTATCTGTACAGTTCCCGTTTCCCGTTGTACCTTTGATCATTTTCATGAAGCATTGTGCATTATATACTTTAATTCCTCAAGATAAACTTTAACAGAATTTACAGAAACACTAAACAATGCTGCATTTATAAGAGGAGAAACAAAGATAGCTGTAGTCCTCTGAGGTTGTCCAGAGGACATCAGAGCAGGCAATCATCAATAACTCTATCACAAACAGTAGTGAACAGACCAATAGTATCAGGCCAACTGACGCAAAACCCAAAACAAAGTTCTTAAGTGTGCAAGATAAGACAATATTATCACATTTGATTGAGATTAGGGACATGTTTGAAGGATTTCCTCCTTGTAATAAAACCAATTTAGGCTAAAACATATGTTTTATGTGTTTATATGTTTCAGCCAATTTTTTCTGTCATGTAATTGATCATTTATCTCAGAAAATTAACATTCAAAAACCAGACTGTTGTTTGTTCAGTTACATGGCTGCGTGCGTATCTCTCCTCTGGCCTTGACTTTCATTTCAAGGACTCAGGCTCAATCTTTCCAAAACCTTTATACAAAGATCTGGTTTAATCAAGCCTGACAATCACACAGAAGCATGTGAAGGGTCTTTGTGAGCTCAATCAATGTGTTACTCACTCAAAAAAAAAAAGGTAAGTGAAAGCCATGCAGATTCAACAATGTTATTCGAATGCAATTTGAGTACAAAACTAAATACGGGTAATGGTATTTCGTGTCTGTTTATTTCTAGAATAATATTGAAACCTTACCAGATAGCATGTTCAGGGCTCTAATTTCATCAGATCTGCCATAAAAAACAACCAATTTAATCATTTTGAGTGGCATAATAATGGCATTTGAATTAAGGAAATTAACTTTTGATCTAAGCAATCATATCATTCATATTCCATTTACTATATAATTCTGTTCTCATTTTAATTATGGAAACAAAACAGACAGAAACCAACAGTGTGATTAATTTTTAGCTTTTAAATTCAGAGCCTTACCTGAATTTAGGTATTAATTAACTTTAGTTAAACTAATGTGCTGCTCTATGTTAGTAAGTCTTTCAAGCTTACAATTCTGCCTTAACTCCAATGAAGCTTAATTTATATTTTAATGCACTTGTGATAAATTTGGACATACCTCTTCACATCGGACAAAACCAGTGCAGATAACACAGACACATCAGCTGGCCTCAGAGAATGGACTGCTAAAAGGATGATATGACAAATTATACACTGATATTCAGCCTAGATGTTAATTACTTTTCTCACTGTCTTATGCACAATATTCTTGTATAGATTCCTTTACCAGAAACTGGAGTGCTGGGTGAAGGGGATGAAACAGCACAATACAGAGATTCAACTGCAGAAACAAAAAATCGAACCCCGATAAGACACTGGCACACATCAACAAATTTGACTCATTGACATGGCATGGAAGCACAACTTGTGTGACAAATCCATTTATGTGAGTACATTACCTACATTGCATTGGATGAATTAGAATTAAAAGACTTAGAAGACAGATAGAAAGTGTATAAATCATACAGGCTCACATCTGCTCCATGACAGAGTAGCGTAATTATTAACCTCTAGGCAGGCTAAAGAGGGAAATCATTTCTAAAATACTATCAACCAGTCATTAAAAGTCAGGAAAATAATCTAAGGAAGCTTTATGCATTAAATTGGAAGCAGAGTGGTGGAATATCAAAAGTGATTAAATACCTGCTGAACACCTGCATGCTAGAAGTGCCAGAATCATAATCTGTGCACAGGAAGAGAAAGTTTTATCTTTTATTCCCATGATGGAAAGAATCATCCGCTTCTTTGCTTGGTTCATCTGTTTAGAGCCACGTGGAGTAAAGAGCAGTTCTGAACAAAACTGCTGAAACGTTTAGCAACTTCTGCTCTAATATATGACTGTAATCTTCCTCAATCACTCAGACACGCCTCCTGTTAGTTTGCATGTTTCAAGGTAGATGGCATGGAATTTATTTTTATAGATCTTATCAAGCTGTTTATTGGAAAGATATTGGCTAGGTCTATAGTCCTGTGGCCGGCTGCATAAACTACATAGACTAGTCTTACAAGGCATCCAATTTTTCTTCTTTAGGACTGGTCATAATTTTTTATAATAATTACATAAAAATAATTAAATAAAAATGAAAAATAGCCTAATTTGAATCCAAAAAGCAATACTGGCTAACTGCTAGCTGATCAAAATTGTTCTTAAGACAGTCTTAACATAGTGACCATGTTTATGCAAATGGGGCCTGGTTTTATGTCTTAGGATGATATAACATGTTTTCTTGACTGTTGTCCTGAGCAACACTACTTTGTTTTGTCAATTTGAATTTTTTTGTTCACTAATTGCAAAATGCCTCATTCAGCCAACAAATTAATCAAAGCAACTGCAGATTTCTTGTTCAACACTTCTCAGTTATTAACACAATATACTGATATATAATTTTGGTAGCCATATATACTGTATATGTGAAGTGAACTATTTTAAAGAAAGTATAGAAGGTTGTATAGACCTCAACATTATATATATATATATATATATATATATATATATATATACCCACACAGTGCAATATGTATTGTGAAAATCACTATACAAATAATTTGAATTGAATTGAAAAATTGTTTATTTTTTCTTAAATGAGTTCTGACTGAAAACTTCAATTACCGTGCCAATTATCCCAGTGCCAAGTGAAGGCAACCTGTATTTAACCAGCCTTTGTTGCCGTGTGTGTTTGGAGGTTCAGGAGTACAGATATTGAATCTGATTAGATATGATTAGAGATGCTGAGACTTATGAAAGTCATTAAGATTTCTGAAGATTTACAGCTTCTCTGATTGATAAGATAAACATCTCACCCTGAGGTTACTAAACATGGGCAGACAGAAGATAACTAATTTGTGTAACGTTGCACATGCATCTACAGCTCAAAATGATTGACATCAGAATGAGATGATTGATGGCTGAGATGTTAATTAAGTCCCTATACCTGGCTGGGGTTAGGCTATGAGCATTGCCATGTTTATATAAATGAAATAATATAAAACCAAAGTTCAGTTTTCTGGTTGCAGTGATAATCGAGTGGCTGAGTGGTAAAGGTCAATGACTTCCTGTGTGGATTTGATTGCCGGTGGTCGATGGATCAAAAGGTCAAATCTCAAAATGCTTCCAAAGGCTATAGTAAAAATCTGAAAAACTGAATGTAAAAGTTAGTTATGGTTCAAATATGATTGTGATATGATGTATTTAGAGATAATAAATAAAAAAAGTATCAAAATTATCGTTTATTTGCTTGTGACTGCAGCAAGGTACAAGTTAGGATGTCTGCTAAGCCTTATTGTGGAAATATGAATGTTTTGTCTCAGAATGTGAACTAAATTCAATAGAAATCTTGTTATTAAGATTGTCATTATATGACAAGCTGTTAAATTCATCAATTGGAACAAATTCTGAATTTAACAACACATCATAATATGATTCTATAATAAGTTATTCAAATGTAAGAATTTGATTTCATGAGATGTAGGTCTCCATTTTAATTTTTTATTATAAGTGCTTTTTTTTTGGTTCTGTTGTTATTATGGGAGTTTTTCCTCAACCATAAAAGCAGAATTGCACCTGTAGAGTCTCTACTTGGAGTTTGTCCCAGTTTGTGGATTTTTGGATGGTGAGGCCCCAGACTTCACATTCATAGTGTGCAATGGGGTCTGTAACAGGTTTGATTATTTATAGCCAGATTTATAGCCAGATGGTAGGGGTCTCAGTTTTGATACATAATGCCCTTTGTGCCATGTCTCTGAAGACATCCACAGCCTTGTTGACGTTTTCAGTGGTGCTGCTGATATTAATACACAGGTAGTTTTGAGTATGTTCTAGGGACTTGTTATCTAGCTTGAAGCTATATTTGTAGTGGTTGCTCTTTTTTGGAATATCATTATATTTATATTTATGGTTAATGACAAACCCATGTTGTGCAGGATCCCAATTTGCTGCTGTTTTGGGTGACAACACCAAGATCTCCAAACAGCACTTGATTGCAGAATCAACTCTATAGAAATGTTATTTATTGTTTTGACAACAGATTTTTTTTGACATGGCGCTGAATTTAATTGAATTGAAGATCCTCCTGTGAAATGAAAAAGTTTTAAAATCTGCTTGCGAAATATATACATATACTGTATTTCTAAACATTTAGAGAACTACTGTTTCTCAGTGGCGACCAGCAACTGTTTGGTTACCCACATCCTTCAAAACATCTTCTTCTATGTTCAATTGAAGAAAGAAATTAATACAGGTTTGAAACAACTTGAGGGTGAGTAAATGATAACAGAATTTTCATTTTTGGGCGAACCATCCCTTTGAATTCTTCCTAGTTTACAAAGACGAAGAGTTGCAAGAAATAGTACATCCACCAGCAGATGGCGTCAAGTACATTTTTATTACGCATTGCCAACGTCTACTATGACGAATCTGCGCCATCTATTGATTCACATTGGGACACCTGCTGCCTCACACGAGTCAATAGATGGCGCTGTTTCGCCAGTTGAAGCCGATGGTGGAGGCTCAAAGGGGTGGAGGAGAGGAGAGCGTGAGGAGAGCCCTGGGTCCACACATCACTGGATGCGGCAGCGGCATGTGGACGGCAGACACACCGGAGACGTGTGTGGGTACTTTATGCTGATACCGGTCCGGGCTCTCATAGGAGCGCATGACCCGCCGTGATGGCCGGGGGACGCAGAGGACTAGTGGCCCCACAAAACACTTTTCTGGAAAATATTGTCCGACGGTCTAACGGTAAGACGCACCATCACATCCAAAGCAGCGCACGTACAGAAAGAGTATCAGCGGTAATGTCGCAGATAGAAGAAAGAAAGAAAAACTTTTGGGTACATAAGTAAAAGACTTAGAAGAAACCTTTACATAAAGACAACGTACTTTTGACAATATAGTCTACTTAAATAACAACACAAACTAGAAAGTTAAAGGTGTCTGTTCACGCGGGGGGCAAAACGTTATGCAGGCGCATTCTATAGTGATGTTTTACTATAGAATTTATTCGTTGTTTTTTATTTGATTTTACGAAAAAACGTTAAATAAACAGTTCTAAAAGTGCAATTCTTTTCTAGATTTTTTGTTAAATTATATATAAATAGGCTATATATTGGCACATTTATTTACATAATGCACAATTTATTTTTATATTAAGCTATAGTAATTAGGCCTATACAAATACTTAATAAAGAGTAGCCTAATGGGCTGCAGGAACATTGAAATGTTGTTCTGTATTCTCTGCGTGACAGCTGCTCGTTCCCATTTGAGTTGTTCTCATGCATCCTTCCATCAGCATGTTGTGGGATAGAGAACAACTTTAGGTTAAATTAATATTTAATAGCAATTAATATTTAAGAGTGCTGAAAGGTTGAAAACTGGATGAGGATCTTCACCAACACTATCTGCGAGATCAGACTGTGTTCTTGCACCCTCTGTAAGGTCTTTAAACTAGAATCCAATATCTCTTTTATTGATGTTTATACATCAGGACCGCTTTTCTTATTCATGCGGTTTCGTTGCATGCATATGGCCATTTAAAACGAATCGAACATCAGATGTCCACAACTGGCCAGTGGACACCACCTCTGCATTGAACCCCAGTAGAGAGATCTCTAAGCTTTAAGAAAGATGTACCTTTTCATTTAAGTAGGACTTCTATTAACTTCTGAAAACATTGATGTCTGTATGACCTGCTTGGTCATATGGGTTAACTGGCCATCTTGGAGAAGAACATGAGGATACATTCCTCTTCCTCTATGGTGTTTGTGTATTATTTAACTCTTTTTCTGTTTTCTTTAACTTCCAGTTTGGACATTATCACATAGACACACAGGTATAAACCTCACTGAGCAGAACACTTGTGCTTTAACCTCTTCCATCCCTCCATTATATCTCCCCCTCTCTTTCTCTTTCTGTCTTTCCTTCCCTCCCTCCCTCCCTCTCTCTCTCTCTCTCTTTCTAGTTCCCTTTCGACATTAAATATTGTTCTATAACAATTTTTGTTAATTTACAAATGGATAGTCGGAATTTTAACAATAAGTTTGATTAAACTCTTTTGTGGTTTAGTGTTAAAGTGGTTCAACAGTGCTGTTGATATTTCAAAGCTGCTTAGTTATGGTGAAAATAACCATGCAGATGTTGCTCCCTGGCCCTTATTCAGCGCTGACAGCACTTGCTGTAAAATAACAAATGTTGGCATGGAACGTTTTTCCTCCATAGTGATGCGTGTGCGTCCACATGTGTGTGTGTGTGTGTGTGTGTGTGTTTGTTTTAGTTTGTCGAGTGAACTTCCCGTGTTTATGCTCAGTAGAGGAGAACTGTGCTCTGTGGCAAATCCACCACCATGCTTTTAAATCAATTGATATCATAGATCTGAGTTTCCCTTCACTTGTGATTCTGATGCTGCCCTTCCACATTTGCTCATCTCACCTTTACCCTCCACAAGCATTAGCCATAGAAAGATGAAATGTCTGTCTGTGTTTAAATCATATGTGCAGTCAAAGTGAAAAATGTTGCCATTCATGTTATTATGTCTGAATGAGGAGAAGGGCATATTTTATAATGAAAAACAAAATCTATCTGAGCTTATTTTATTTTAAATCTAAATTCGTTTTAATGTTGATATGCAGTAGGGGTCAAAAGTCTGGGATTCAAAATCAAATTTAAACCTTGAAATAAACAGTAATTTTAACAGGAAATATAAACAAATGCGGTAAGGTAAAATTAATATGAAATGTTTCTAAGTAAACAAAAAAAACAAATCTGTGACATTGATCATACAAAATCCTGAATTTTATGAACCCTACTGCGTGTAAATATGTAAATAAAGGCTGTGAGACTGATGAAAGTCATGATGCTGTTTACAGTTTACATATTACATTACAGGACAATGCTTATATAAAGGCAATTTATTGCTGTTAAATACTGGAAAGGTCTTCACTGTCCCTCATTTGTGACAGACTACAGTTTCTAATTCTTTTATATCGGATTACAGGTTGTATAGTGTTACGGTGAGCTTGCTCAAGCTTTGAGATATACTTTGTTAAAAGTGCTACTGGCTTAGTCAGCAGCCGCTAAATCACTACTGTCAGCTAATCAGCCTGATAGCCTGCTTAACACGCTAGCCACTAACAAACTAACATTGACAGACATCAGACGAAAGGTTAAAGCAAGGTTACAGAGATGGAGCCCATTACAGATGACCCTGGCACAGAGAGTTTTTAACACAGGCTTTTGGATAATACACACAGGAGTGAAAGTTCCGGTATAGGCCTAATTGATAATGGCTGTGATACTCCAGAACAACACAAACTTACTCTGTCTGCAAAGATTTGGACAATGAAAGGATCAATGAGAGATGTAGCATGAAGATAGTGCTTGAAAGTTTTGTGAAGATGCTGAAGGTATCAGGTTGTGTGTATGAGCTTTTCTCACAGTAATATGAGTGACAAAGAAGTTAATTTTGTTCAGTCAGAATTTTGGTGCTATAGGAATACACAGTGCCTTTCAAAAGTTTGGGGTTTGTAAGATTTTTAAAATGTTTTTGAAAAAAGTCTCTTTTGCTTGCCAAGGCTGCATTTATTTGATTAAATATACAGTAACCAGTAATATTGTGAAATATTTTTACAATGAAAAAAAATAAACAGGTTTTTCATTTTAATATTTTGATTTATTTCTGAGATGGCAAAGCTGAATTTTCAGCAGCCATTAATCCAGTCTTCAGTGTCACATTATGATATTGAATATGATATGTTTTTTCAGAGATGCTAATATGCTGATTTGGTGCTCAATAAACGTTTCTTATTATCAGTGCTGAAAATAGTTGTGCTTAATATTTTTGTGGAAACTGTCAAACCTTTTTCAAGATTCTTTGATGAATAAAAAGTTAAAAAGAACTGCATTTATTTGAAATAGAAATCTTTTGTAACATTTTGTACCATGTCTTTTTTGTAACGTTTTTCAATTTAATGTGTACTTGCTGAATAAAGTATTAATTTATGACCCCAAACTTTTGAACAGTAGTGGCCAAAAACCAGGAATGGGATACATGTTTATGACCAACCACAGCTGTTTATTGTGGTGGGATATATAGGACAAGATTTTTTAAAAATTGATGTAACAGTGATAGTTTAGGTGGAATATACATGCGTGATCAAGCATATCTTGTTCACTTGCTTAAGTGTTTCAAACAAAACTCTTGAAAACCTTAAAAGATTTGATACTACAACCCCGCAAACTTTGGCAAATCCAGCAATTAGTTATTTCTTAGACTTGCAAACACAAACCCATGCACCCTGACTCCCATTAGTTACAGTAAAGCCAGTCAATTATATTTAAACCAATGTTTTTCAGCCATATATGTCAATGATTTAATGCAATAGGGATCACAACAATCTGTGGGTGGTTTGTGGGCTGTTTGAGGCTGAGACTACCAAATACATGTTTCTTTCTGTTCACTTTAACAAGAAAAAAACTTAAAAGGCAGGGAACTGTATCTGGACAATAGGGTGCCAGAAGGAACATTTAGAGATTTAGTTTGAGTGGGGTTGTAAGGTCATGTGAGAGTATAGTGTGAACTACTGTGCATTACCATCTTGGGTACAGACCAGTAAAAATGAAGCTGAAGTTCTCAGTGTTGTCATAAACATGTCAGATCAGTGGCTTTCGGCTGCCGTGACAGTGTCCACCCATCCTGCCTCATGTGACATTACCATAACGACCGACCTCTAGTTTTCTTACCGTTGACCTTGTGCCTGGTTCCTCTCACCTGCTTCCTCCCCACACCCTCCTGTGCTCTTTCCACAGACACAAACTTTGTGTTGGGAAATGCCCAGATCGTAGACTGGCCCATCGTTTACAGTAATGATGGCTTTTGTAAGCTGTCCGGCTACCACCGTGCTGAGGTCATGCAGAAAAGCAGTACATGCAGGTATCAGACTTCATGCAGAGCTGGTTTCATGTACAAGTTTTTATATCCCATCATATTGATCATATTTTCTTTATAAAAGAGAGAACTGCAACTTCTTGTAGAAAGATGCTTGAATTCAGTGGTCACATTATTGAGGTCCAATTCTCACTATTAACAAACAATTAACGACAACTTTTGCCTCAATAAACTATTATTTTTGTAGTTTGTTGTTAAATTGAGGTATTTGGTAGGATTAGGGATGTAGAATATGGCCATGCAGAATATGTGCTTTATAAGCACTAATAAACAGCCAATATGTTAATAATAGCAACTAGTTAATAGTGAGAATTGTGAGAAATTTACCATTTACAGTATTAAATACCGTATTAGATAACATAATATACAAGATAGTACAATATTGTTTGTAATGAAGTATGCCCACAATACAACCCAGTATATGTACAGTGGAATATTATATTACAATATGCAATACAATACAATACAGTACAGCATATAGTACTACACTACACACGATGTAGAGAGGAATATGGGAAAGTAACAGTGCAAAATAAGTAAATAATAAATATATTTCAGTAAATAACTTTTCTTTTAAAGAAATTAATACTTTTATTTTGTAGGATGCATTAAATTGATCAAAAGTGACAGTGGTTTATAATGATTATCTGACACTGAAAATTGGAGTAATGGCTGCTGAAAATCCAGCTTTGCCATCACAGAAATAAATAACATTTTTTAAATATATTAAAATAGAAAACACTTTAAATTGTAATAATATTTCTCAATATTTCAGTTTTAACTGTAATTTGGATAAAATAAATACAGCCTGGTTGAACGTAAGAGTTTAATTTCAAAACATAAAAAATGTACCGACAGCAACGTTTGAATGCTAGAGTATGTAGCAGAATAAACACAGAAATTAATTTGTAAGAATGTATTGTTACATATACCTTATGTAATTAAAAAAAAAATAATAATAATTACAGTATGTTACAGTAAATGTTAAAAATAGAGTTGAAAGGGTGAAAGTGGCTGTCTTCTGTGTGGTTAGTTGTTGAGCCAGCCAGCTTTGAACTCTTACTTATCCTTGATATGCCAAACACAAGAAACACAAGGCTCATTAACGTTACAGCTCCAGATGTCTCAAAGAGAAATACATTTGTAGAGTCTCTCGAATGTATCATTCCTCCCTCTCTGCCTCTCTCATTATAGTAAAGCAAAGCTGGACTAGTTTTCAGTAAACTTCCACTCATCATGACTCAAAAGATCCACTAAGCAACAGACAAATTAATGTTATGACAATTTAACTTCACTCAGGGTGTTCTGATTTTCAACCCATTTGACTTACTTTCTTCTGTGAAACACAAAGGTAGAAATTTAGCATGGTATTTTTTTCACTCAGTGAAAGTGAATGGTGACAGTGAAAGACTGGGGCTGCCAAGCTTCAAAAGCACCATAAAAATAGCATATGTTGTCAATGTTGTCATATATGACCTTTTATCATGGCACTTTTTTGTCACTTTTGGAATTTGACAGTCCCTGGTCACTTGTATTTTATTCAAAAGAGCAGCATCAACATTCTACTACACTTCTCCTTTTGTGTTCTACAGAAAACAAAAAGTCAAATGGATTTAAAATGACACGAGTTAATGATGACAGAATTTTATTTTTAGTCAACCTTTAAAATAAAGTCAAGTGAAATTCTGCTTGAAAACGGTCTGCTTCTGATTGTGTTTTACATTTCTTTTTTTGCCTCAGCTTCATGTACGGAGAGCTCACAGATAAGGACACATGTGAGAAAGTTCGGCTGACTTTCGAGAACTATGAGATGAATTCGTTTGAGATCTTGATGTACAAGAAAAACAGTGAGCATTGCACACAAACACACACACACACTCACACACACACACACACAGATGCACACACAACTGGGAGCAGGAACACAGCAGTCCTGGTGCATAAATTTGTTATGCTAATATATTAATGAATATGCATAATTGTGTAAAACAGAGACAAGACAGTTTTTTCTTCAATAGAAAAAGAACTTTTCTCCCCCGACATATTATCTGTCACAGATTTACGGCATGTTTAAATGTGCGTGGTTGTGTTTTTCCAGGAATGCCGGTTTGGTTTTTTGTGAAAATAGCACCTATACGAAATGAACAGGAGAAGGTTGTGCTCTTCCTGTGTACGTTTAGTGACATAACAGCATTCAAACAACCAATTGAAGATGACTCCTCCAAAGGTACGTGTTGTTCAGATGTATTTCATGAACATTTGTGCACTTGAGAGTGAATGTTAAATGTGGATAATTTCTGTGTTCAGGATGGGGGAAGTTTGCTCGTCTGACCAGGGCTCTGACCAGCAGTAGAGGGGTCCTGCAACAACTGCAGCCCACCGTACATAAAGGAGAGAATGTACATAAACACTCGCGCCTTGCAGAGGTATGTCTCAGTGTGTCTCACACTGTCTCATACATTTCATTTTACACCTGTGAGTGATTCTGGTGTGTATCAGCATGTGTTTGCATCCGTGTCAAAGATCAAACTAACACTAGGAAGGCTATCCTCTCGCACTGTGTGTTTCCAGTACACACACTCCTCCAGCAGGGAGATTAAAAAGATATATGGGGCATTTTTGAATAGTTTACAAAGCAGGGTCAGGAATTTAACAGGACTTTGGGACAAAAGTGCCACCAAATGTGAAGAAAAGACCTAGAAATTTAAATGTGGGGGCCAAAAATGCCTCATAATTAATTAATCATCTGTCACATATATTTATTTACTTTCTATTCTAGGCCTAGCTAATTATACTAATATCACATAAAAACTGTCATGCAATGGAGCTGTCAGATTAGTTTTGTATTAGTTATTTAATCCATGGTGGCAGTAGACAATAAATAACATGATATGACCAATATAAACGGACTACTGTATATAATCTGCTCCAGCCAATCATTTGCAATAAATAAGTAAAGGGAGAATTATACTATATTAATTGTAGAGATAGCAGAGAGATTGTTATACAGTGTTTCCATTCACAACGGTTATTATTCAGAAATATTTCTAAGCTGACTGTCACAATTGGCCGATCAGAATTACGTATTCCCGAGTCATGTACAATGATATGAAAATAATAAAAAAAATTAAATTAATATATTTGAATTAAATGTTACATCTTAAATAAATGCTAAATGTATTTAAATTATTTATATGAACTAAGTTAATATATTGATTTGCATTTATTTAAATGAAATTTAAAATTGTAAGTGTTTGGGAATTTTTTTATGTGGTATCGACCTAAAATTGACAGTAAAAATCTAATAAATTAACATTTTTATTTAACACGTTATTTAATTAATTGGAAGTATTTTTAGTGCTAGATAAGTAAAACTAAATCTTCAAGGTAATGTGTCCATTCATTCTTCAATAAAACATAATGTTAGCATACATTTATTCTAGCATGGTTTATCCAAAATGTCCATTAAAAATACATTTTAGTCAGTGACAAGGCTTCATCTGTATCGGTTAAACAGACGAGATGAGATGTTTAACAGGATGCGATTTTTCTTTGAGGTGAGTCTCTTGTAAGCCGAGACGGGTCATTTGTCTTCCTCTCCACTCAGAGAAACGACCATCCATCCGCTGCCTCTCTCTCTGTCTCTCTCTCACACAGGTTCTCCAGCTGGGCTCAGACATCCTGCCCCAGTACAAACAAGAGACACCCAAGACCCCTCCTCACATCATCCTGCACTACTGTGCCTTTAAGACCACATGGGACTGGGTCATCCTCATTCTCACCTTCTACACCGCCATCATGGTCCCATACAATGTCTCATTCAAAACCAAGCAGAACAACGTCACCTGGCTGGTTGTGGACAGCATTGTGGATGTGATCTTTTTGGTAGATATTGTACTAAATTTCCACACCACGTTCGTGGGCCCGGCTGGGGAAGTGATATCAGACCCGAAACTGATTCGCATGAATTACTTGAAAACCTGGTTTGTGATTGACCTGTTGTCCTGTCTGCCTTATGATGTCATCAACGCCTTTGAGAACGTGGACGAGGTCAGTACAAAACACAAATTTATTTACACACACACACACACACACAAGCAAACATGAAAAAAGGATTAATAATCAATGATAAGATCGAAACGTCTGTCATGTCGGCTCATTGTTTTTGCTCTGGTTTTCAGTATACTGAAGTTTATTGCTTGTTTCTCACAGTGTTTAAAGCAAGGAGATACTGTATGTATGTATACGACATGTTTAAAAAGCAGCAGACTGCAATAATTCAGAGAGAGGAACATGCAGTTTATGTAAGATGTGCCAAAGGGATAGTTCACCCAAAAATGAAAATTACCCCATGATTTACTCATCCTTAAGCAATCCTAGGTGTATATGACTTTCTTCTTTCAGACGAAAACAATCAGAGTTATATTAAAAAAATGTCCTGGGTCTTCCAAGCTTTGTAATGGCAGTGAATGGGGTTTAAGATTTAGAAGTCCAATAAAAGTGCATAAATCCGTCATAAAAATGACTCCACACGGCTCTGGGGGTTAATAATTGTATTGGTCGGTGCCGATAGACCTCTATAGCGCGTTGCGCTGTGGGTGTCCCGAGTTCCAATACCGGCTCGTGGCCCCCTCTCTCTCTCCCCTACATCGCTTCCTGTCACTCACTACACTGTCCTATCTAAATAAAAGACAAAAATGCCAAAAACAAATCAAGAAAAAAACAACTCTGATTGTATTGGTCTGAGAGAAAAAGTCATATACACCTAGGATGGCTTTTTTTGGAGGGTGGGTAAATCACTGGGTAATTTTCATTTTTGGCTGAATTATCCCTTTAAGGAGTTTGCAAGTGAACAGAAAGATTATCTTTTAGATATTACTAATATAGTCAATGTGAAATTCGCCACCTAGTGTACTATAATTACAGTATAATTGTAAAAATTATACAGGTTTTTCACTTTCTGCCATTGGTCAGGCAAGCAAATAATCCCTGCTACAAATATGTTTATTTTTGTAGGCTGACCTGGAAGTTAGCAATATGATTTTTCCACTGGATTTGGATATTGCAGGAAAGTTCTGTGACTAAGAAAAGTTTATTATTCTTACATATCCTGTTCATTAGGGTAATCTTCACAAATTACCAACACAGCTAATTACAATTAACAGAGGTAAAAAGCTAGAGTATAAACAAACCACATTCACATTTAGCCTTTTACACTTATTCTGATGTATTTTATCTCATAGGATTAAACAAGAAAATATCTTGATCTTGCATTAGCTACAGACCTTATTTAAGGCATTTAAAAAACGACACACATGACCTTTAAATTTACTGCATTAATTGTTTGTCGTAAGACTTCTTCGAATTCTGTGTAGCATCTGCTCTGTTTCAAACTATTCTAGTGGCAGTTATCCAGCAAGCCTGATCTCAGATCAGTGTCATAAAGTAAATATCTGGAGAGATTCTGAATCAGTTTATCTGCCTTGGTCTACGCTGATTTGGGAGGAAATTGGTGCAGTTAAGCTTAATAAATTTAATAAAACTAGGCTGTGAGTACTACAAACCTAGTGTATGGGGACCTGAATTATCAGATCAGACAAAATATTTAAGAATAAACAAACACACAAGGGACAGGGGAAGTGGAAAACATTTTTGTCCCATGTGGGCCTGGTAATAGACATGAATAATGCCTTTAAGAAAGGAAGAACTGAAGAAAAGCATTGGACTACCCTGCTGGCTCTCATTACAGAGAAAACCTAGCTAACATTGATGTTACAACTCAATAGTCTAGGGGAGATCTTAATAAGTTGCTACCTAGGGTCTGCTCGTAACTATCTTTAGATTTTATTTTAAATGCACCAAGGGGAAGCACAGCAAAAAAGAAACAAAACTAAATCCAAAAGTATTCATACATAGACACACTTTGTGATGAGACTTTGAGATTTTTTTTCATATTTACCTCAAAACACCTGTAACGGAATAGCTATTAAACCTTGCGTATCTTTACAAGTGGTGGTATAACAGCCCTGCAACATTAAACTGATCATTTGTCTGAGTGCTTTGTGTGAGGGATAGTATTTGAGCTTGTAATGGAGCAAATCTTTGGTGTTAATTAATATTGATCGGGATGCGTGAGAGTGAAGCACGCAAACCCTTTCACTGATCTTGGGCTAAGAGTTCATTTCTATGCTATCATATTTACACTTTGAATTTTTATTTAAAGCATTTGAGTGCTTTTGAGTAGAAGTATTTGTGCACCTCACTTTGATTCTCTGTGTCTGTCTTTTGCGCTCGCTGGATACGGGTGATTTTATGGTAAAGTTGGGGACTGAAGCGATGGTGCGTGATTCTCTGTGCTGGTGAGGTAGGAATCAGTGTACTGGATGAAGCTTTTGCTCTGGATCAATCTCTGACCGTATAACGATTTTGCTGTCTGTCTGCATTTAATTGAACTCACAATCAATTTCCGCCACTGCACAGAGGATGAGCACAATCTCTCTGCCTGATGCACTAACTGCCGTCACACCTGCATTCCACAGCTTTCAAAAATGATTTGTGCTTAAAGGGACAGTTCACCTGAAAATGAAAATTGGGTCATCATTTACTCAAATTTAAAGTCGGCTTGAAATGAAAATTCACCATTTAATTTTTCAAAATGCATGTTGTGTTTGAACTGAAACCTGTACACAACCACCCAACATGCACCGAAACGAGTCGCTGTGAACAGAGCTGTTAACAAGGTAAAAAATGGTGTTGTTTTACACTATAATTGAGAAATGTTTACCAAAGTATGTTATAGACTTATAGAACTGACAAAATGTAGAGAAAAGGATGCGTTTTCTAATTTATCCAGATTAGTGTAGACATAACCTTAGTCTGCTAAAACCTCACTCCTGCAAGCTCACATTTATCTGCTTACATTTTTTCGATTTGAATAATTCATTACACTTGGATGTATGCCACTATATGGAACTATATGGAAAAAACTTTGAAAAATGTGTTTTTTTTGTCTATATAATGAAATTCAATGGGGTCAGTGTTTTTTTAGACCACACTGACTTTCATTTTATGGATAAAAACAGGTGAAATATTCTTTAAAAAATCTGAAAAGAAAGTCGTACATGTTTGGAATGATATGAGGGTGAGTAAATGATGAATGAATTTTCATTTTGAGGCAAACTATCACTCTAAAAAGTAAAAAAAAATTATATTTTGCTGTGATTATCTGTTAAACACACACACACACAGGATCCGAGCTTTCATCTTTCCCCTGGGCATATGGCTTTTCAGAGGGGCTGTCAGCACCAGTTTACCATGATCAGCTACATCAAGCTCATCAGATCTGTCTGTGCACGCTGCCGGGCTTTGAGCTCAGCAGAACCAGCCCAAAGAACAGAGCACTACCATATATAACGGCATCCTTAGAGAGTTATGCAACACAAGGCGAATTAGATCCTGAGGTGACGACTTTCTGATGGAGAATAATGCACTCTGTCTGGTGTTTGCTTTCTGACTGATTTCTATTTGAAACAGAGGAGGAAGCGGCTGGTAAACTTAAGTTCTGATCTGAAACTTAAGTTATTTGTTTATTTACATTAGGAAGTCAGTGCAGCTTTTGAATGTATTTTCTTTGGTGGAAAGCTGTCTGCAAAAAGTAGAAATGGCTAGATTTTATTTTGCACTGCCCATACTACAGTATACATAGAATGCAAAATTGGGATTATGCAATCCTCCTGATGTTTGTAATATTGACATGATGTGTGTTCAGGTGGTTAGAATAAAAGAGGAGCATTGGACAATTTTAATTTAGTTTAAATTTCCATAGTTTTCATTACCTGATAAAGACAAAAAGAAGGTGTTTAGCATTAGAATAAGAAAATAAAATGCAATAAATGTACATTAGGTTATAACTGATCTATACTAATCAAAGCTTTGGGGTTGGTACAATTTTTGTTTAATTTTTGGTACAATTAAAAAAAAGTTTGTTTTGTTTTTGAAAGAAGTCTCATGCTCACCAAGGCTGTATTTATTTGATTAAAAATACAGTAAAAACAGTAATATTGTGAAATATTTTTACAATTTAAAATAACGTTTCTATATCAATATTTTAAAATGTAATTTATTACTGTGATGGCAAAACTGAATTTTCAGTAGTCATTACTCTAGTCTTCAGTGTTACATGTTCCAGAAATAATTCTAATAGGCTCAAAAACATTTCTTCTTATTATCAATGTTGAAAGTAGTTATGCTGTTCTTTTTGTGGAAACCATGATACAATTTTCAGGATTCTTTGAAGAATAGAAAGTTAAAAACCATTTAACAGAAATAGAATATTTTTTGTTACAATATAAAACTCCTTGTCACTGTTGATCAATTGAATGCAAAATAAAAAGATAAATCTTACTGACCCTAAAATTTTGAATGGTAGTGCATGTATTTTAGTGTTCTTATGCTGCCACAGGGAATGATGGGAAATGTAGTTTTGCCACACAAGCTTGTCACCTCATAAAATGCCTCAATAAACAGTATTGTCTACCAAGATTTATCACAATCTTATTATGAATAATATCAGTGAGCCTTCCATCATAATTAACACGCCCCCCCCCCAACGCTTGAAGAAAATCCACAGCTTCTCATTGGTAATTATGACATTGTGGTGCCATTAATGAGTGTTCATCTCATACATCATTATTCCAACATAACCTAAAGGCAGCATTAGTGCTTTGCAGATCTTTGTATGCTGAAATTGCTTGAATGGGAAATGTGCATCTATGTTTAAGTTAAAAATACCGCAAACTAACACACTATGGCATACTATCTTACTACATACTCAAAAGTGCACACATTCCCATCAGCAAATGACACACAGGACATACTTTTAGTGAATAAGAGAATGCAAAGTGGAATGCAACCAATATTTCTTTCTCTCAAAGGACAAAAACAAAAACTCTGTTCTGGTACAGGTGCATATTTTCATGGCCTAACTGTGTGGTTTTTAATAATCCAAAATCCATAATTATCTTATGTTGCATAACCCTCGTCTGATTTCACAGAGACATCTGTCATCGTTTCACATTGCCTTTGCAGCGGAAGCTTGATTATTAATGTCTGCGATGCCTGTGATCTCACTAACAGTCCAGGCTCTGCTTTTTCACTCTTGATTCAAAGCGCCATGCTTTTGTTTGCAATGACTGTTCACATATTCTTCTGTTGACCATTGTCACTCTCTTTTGTTTTTTGCTTTTTTCCCTCCTCATCCCTCTTTCTTTTTGCATGTTCCTTGCACTGCCTGTGTTTGTTGTGGGCGAATGAAGAACTGGAATCATCGAGCTGTCACTCAAGTAGGCCTTTCATCTCAAAACTCGGCATTTGATTGATATGCTGTGCCTCAGGGCATCAATCAGACACTGATGTAAACCAAAAGCATTATTAGACCATAGTCTATTATTTCATGTTTCTAATCAAATCAGTCAACAGAAACTTTTTTTTATGATTTTTTGTCATTTAAATGTTTGTTTGGTGTGTATTAAACTGTATTGTCTGTGTGTGTGTGTGTGTGTCAGTGTTTGTAACTGTGGATGTGCTGATAGGGTGTTTAAAGGAATATTTAAAAAAAATACTGTTATTGTTTATTTACTCACTCTTTTGCTGTCATTGGAACACAAATATAGTAGTTTTATACATTTTAGAAAAAAAAATTTCCGCTCCGATTCATACAATACTTAATGGTGACTTCATCTATTAAGCTCCACATAAGGCCAAAAAGCACCATAAAAGTAGTCCATATTACTTATTACAGATTATCTGTAGTCAAATGAAAACTGTGTGAAGAACACACCAAAATATCAGTAGTTAATACTAGACTGGATCATTGACTCATTGAGTGAGTTGAACTCATCAATGAATTGTTCAAAACAACATATTTGAACAAGTCAGCCATTTCATTGAAAAGAACTGGCTCAGAAGAATCATTTATTCATTGATCTGGTTCTTGAGTTCAACTAACTGTACCAGGAAATAGTTTCTAGCAGTTCTCGGGTTAAAGATTCACTGAGGGAATGCAAAGCTATTATATGGACATAATCTTTTCATGGTGATTTTTTGGGTAATTTTCTGAACTTTACATAGTTGATTACTATAAACTGTTACTGTATGGATAAAAACTGCATGAAAATAACTGCATACGGGTTTGGAACGACATGAGGGTGAGTAAATAATGACAGAATTTTTATTTTTGGGAGAACTATCCCTTTAATAAAGAATTAATGGACACTGACCAGAATTACTGTAGCATCAAAAGCAGCAGCACAAATACTATCCAAAATGTCTTTGATTTTTTTAATATAGCAAAATGGCTAAAAAGAAAGCGCCTCATTTCTTTTCAGTGTCTGTTCGAAGAGAACTGATGAAATCACAAGAAGTGATGTAGTTTGTATTTGTAATTTCTACCCAACTAAATCCCTGGATAAATTCCTGATCTGAAAGAGTGTGTGAAAAAAAAATACACACATACAGTATAGGGTTACAGGGTGATTTTGGCTTGAATATTTAAAACAGGCATTATACATACAGTAAATTAGAATGTCATGGAAAAGTTCATTTATTTCAGTAATTCAACTCAAATTGTGAAACTCGTGTATTAAATAAATTCAATGCACACAGACTGAAGTAGTTTAAGTCTTTGGTTCTTTTAATTGTGATGATTTTGGCTCACATTTAACAAAAACCCACCAATTCACTATCTCAACAAATTAGAATACTTCATAAGACCAATAAAAATTTTTTTTAGTGAATTGTTGGCCTTCTGGAAAGTATGTTCATTTACTGTACATGTACTCAATACTTGGTAGAGACTCCTTTTGCTTTAATTACTGCCTCAATTCGGCGTGGCATGGAGGTGATCAGCTTGTGGCACTGCTGAGGTGGTATGGAAGCCCAGGTTTCTTTGACAGTGGCCTTCAGCTAATCTGCATTTTTTAGTCTCTTGTTTCTCATTTTCATGTTCAGGTCTGGTGAGTTTGATGGCCAGTCAAGCACACCAACACCAGGGTAATTTAACCAACTTTTGGTGCTTTTGGCAGTGTGGGCAGGTGCCAAATCCTGCTGGAAAATGAAAGCAGCGGCTCAGGAAACCTTTGCAGGTGTTTTGAGTTGATTAGCTGATTGGCATGTCACCATATTCTAATTTGTTGAGATAGTGAATTGGTGGGTTTCTGTTAAATGTGAGCCAAAATCATCACAATTAAAAGAACCAAAGACTTAAACTACTTCAGTCTGTGTGCATTGAATTTATTTATTGTTTCACAATTTGAGTTGAATTACTGTAATAAATGAACTTTTCCACGACATTCAAATTTATTGAGATGCACCTGTATTTAATGTTATTGTTGTGGCCATTTTCCTAAAGCAAGTTTCCACTGTACTATTGATGTCCTTGTGTGTGAAAGCTGTTTTATTCATGAACATACGTTCATAGTTCACCCAATAAGGAATATATAATATATAAAGCAACAATTCACCCAAATTTCTAAATTAAGTCATCACTACAAATAGAAGTGGTTCAACTCCTCTTATGTTTGTCAGAATAATGATCGCAGAAACTCTGGTGACAAGAAATAATATGGAAAAATAGGGAAAAACCATGCTTTGACAACACAGAAGTGCACTTTTAGAAAAAGATTGTACACTTAGGTTATTTTTGAATATATTCCAGCTTATTTGTTCAGATCTGAGGAGTTCTTTGTTCTGGTGCTCAGGTGCTGTTTCAGCTCTCTGTATTGTTGATTTCAGAGGGTTGGCTTGGCAGACGCCTGTGCACATTTATAAACGGAGAGAATCTGTGCTAAGAGAGAGACAATGCACTTTATTTAGACTCAAGAAAACGTGTCTGTAGAATTGCTTCGGCCTATAATGTTTATAATTGATGGATGGATGAAAACATATTTTGCAGTATGTTTAATTCTCTCTATCTCTCTGTCTCTTCCTCAGGGTATCAGTAGCTTGTTTAGTTCACTGAAGGTTGTTCGTCTGTTGCGTCTGGGCCGGGTGGCTCGCAAACTAGATCACTACATCGAGTACGGTGCGGCTGTTTTGGTTCTGCTGGTTTGCGTGTTTGGGCTGGCGGCCCACTGGCTGGCCTGCATCTGGTACAGCATTGGAGACTATGAGGTCATAGACGAGGAACGTAACAAAGTACGTCCGGAGAGCTGGCTTTATATGCTGGGTGAGACGATCGGGACACCCTATCGCTTCAACGTCAGCGGGATGGGAAGATGGGAAGGTGGACCTACAAAAGATTCAGTCTACATCACGTCTCTGTACTTCACCATGACCAGCCTGACCAGTATTGGCTTTGGAAACATCGCTCCAACCACAGATGCTGAGAAGATCTTCGCTGTGGCCATGATGATGATTGGATGTGAGTTGAAAAGCTTTATTTACTTCTTTATAAACACATGCATGAAAAAATACAGTGTTGATACATCTGTTTATCATTTGAGAACTAGTCATTATTGTGCGTATAAGTAACGAACTAGTGCAGTACAACTAGTTCAGCTAGCAAATTCAGGGCTCAGCAATAATGATGACCCACTGGCCAAGTTTTAGGCCAGCTGATAGAAAAATGTTATAGAGTTTTTGATCATTTACATGCATGTTAATGCATTGTAAATGTAAACGTGGTTTTCTGTGTCATTTGGGTGCAAAATCTACTTTTTAAACTTGCCAGCTAGGTAAAGTTTTCTAACTGGCTAACATAGAAAAAGGTTTTAGCTACAGAAGGTACTTTGGTCAAAAATCAGGTTACCATAATATTTTCCAGTGTGAAATGATCAGTTTCTGACCATATTACGCCCTCAATTGTGTTTTGATTCAATTGTGACCATTTTTGCTGACTGAGACAGCTACATTTCATTTGGTTCTGAACGGTGATTTGTTACGAAGGCAGATGAGCGAAATAATGGAGCGTTGACTAGAGATGATGCCTGCAGGGTCATCCACGGCGGGGCTCTCGCAGATCACACTGCCATTGAGCTGTGATTCACCACTCAGAGGAAAAGGAGTCAGTTCCATTATATGTGCTATTATACATGACCAGCTGCCAGTACGCTGTTATTTATATGGTGAAACTCCCTCATGAGAGGCTTATTTTCAGAGTAAACATACATACTGCTTTCTGGGCAAACAATCATACAGTGCAGAACATCAATAGGTTCAGAGGTGGGATCTAGAATTTATGTGTGAGATTTTGTTACAAAATATAATAGGCAAAACAATTTAAATCAATTAACTAAACCTTTTTAATGCAGGCCGTTTTGTCACAAGAAAGAAAAAACAAAAAAACGTATTTACGTAATTTTTTACTTAGTCTAGATTGATTTAGATAATTCATTGTACATGCTCATTTCTTGTATATTTTCATTTAATTACTTTCGTCATTATCAAACTTCACGTATAGTTAATCTGTAAAAACACTAATAACTTAAATGTAATTTTTTAGCTAATCTTAAAATGAATATCCATTTTTCATACTGTACAGTATAATGTTCCGAGTCACTTTAAATAAACAACTGATTTCAGTTTTTAGTGCATAATGTAATGCATAATGTCAGCTAAAGTTGCATTTGTTAACATTACATTATTAGTGAATAATACATAATTCCAAAATTTACTAACATTAACATAAATCAAAAGTTGTATCTGTTAATATTATTTAGTGGACCTCAGCCAAAATGAACTAACAATAAACATTTGCATTTTTATTAACTAATATTGACAAAGATTAATAAATACTGCAACAAATGTATGAATCATTGTTATTTAATATTAGTTTATTTCCCATTCATTATTAGTGTTATCACAATATTATGAAATTGTCATAATTAGAAAAAGCCAGACTGGGAAAATAGTTAAAAAATGTTGATGACTCAGTTTGCACTGAACATTTCTGTACAATCATATATTTTCTGTAATTATAATGTGCAGATGGCCGCAGGGAACTCAAATCATATAATTACACATAAAGGGAAAAAAAATCAATGTAAATATACAGCATGAACTAGCAATGAAGCTCACAGGCATTTCTTTTTCAAACTGTTTCTTGTAGCTCATGTCACGTTGCATTACATAATAGTCTATAAGTCGTCTTTTATGCTCATTTAACAACAGTTAATGAAAATGTTCAACTGGCATCACATTGCAGTCTGTTCTCAAACACTTCAAGGTGATGTGAACTTACAGGCTTTTGTTTCACAAGTGCATTTCAGATTTCTGAATCGTGCTGATGTTTCATCATGTTTATAGTGACAGTTTAAATCAGCGCCGAGTGTAAACACTTGATTGGAGCACCATTTGCATCATTCTCAAGGGCTTTATTCCACAGTCTAGAGAAGTTGTGAGCGAAATTAATCTTTTCTTTTGAAACAAATCAGAAGTGCAGATGCTGATTTCATGGGTTGCTCGGGGAACAGGGCTGGCAGCAGGTGCTGGAATGCCTGTTCTGTTGCCATGGCAACCGCTAGCTTGGGGCATGAGTTTAACGACTGATAGAAAATGTAAATCTGACTGAGACAGACTAACAGGTAGAAACATACATGCCTGGCTTGTTTTCCTCACATATACCTTTCTGAAGCTCGCCTGTGTGCGTGTGTCGATGTACACGTGCAGAGGTCTTTGAGCCGGTGACAAACATGAAGCAGCTTTCATCTTTCTCTTGCAGGAGTTTTTGTCAGCTAATGACTTCATACATATTAGATATGCGTTTATGAGGCATGCATATGCAAATTCATCGCAACACTGTGAAATATTCGTGTTTTGCCATGTTTGATTGATAGCTTAACTTCCTCTCTTTGTTTTCAGATTAATTTCCTCGAGAGGCATTAATGCTCCTCACGTGTTTTCACTGCATGCGCGCAGGTTGCGACGTCACAAAAGGGGCGAAGCCTCAGCTTATGAATATTGATAAGGTTATAGCTTATAGTTTAACTTGATGTTTTAAGTTGTGATTTATCAGGTATGTTTCAGACTCGTTTCAGTTTGATGATCACATTAACAAAACATTATGAGTCGAAGTCATAGGAAATCCTGTAATCTACCTTTTAAATAGCACATTGAGTTGCAAAGTTTTCAATAAACAATATTTAAACTAAATTAAATAGTATAAATTCATTCCTACATCCTGCGTCTTCAGGCTTTGGAAAAAGGTATCCGGTTTCTAATTCACCCAAATTCACCAACTAAAACGTCTAGGTTACTTGTGTAACCCTCGTTCCCTGAAGGAGGGAACGGAGACGTTACGTCAGTGACTGACGAATTGGGATCTCGCGTACACTTTAGTCAGGTTAGATGTTATATTCAGTTTAACATAGATAAAAATGGCTGTGAGGAACAGACATCATATACAGTCTTTACAATGGCACACACTGTATAAAGGTCCTAGATTATGTGATTTTTTTACAACTCAAAGCTTTTACAACTCAAGAGTTTTTGTCCAGTGAACTTTTTTTTCTTTATTTTTTTCTTCTTCTTTTCATGCTACTATCCATTACAGCCTAATTTTCTTTCCTAGTAATGATGAAAGTTACAAATTTACCTCAATAAATTTCATTTACACAAAGTACTGCAGTTGTATTGTTATGAATTTGACAAATAAAGCTTTTAACTTAAACTTTGATGTTTTCAGAATGGTGCACTGTAGTTTGAGCAGGCAATGATGAAATAGTGTGTGGTGCTATGTTTTAAGAGATGATAAATATATCCTGAAATAAAATAAAATAAAATATAATAAAAAATGAAATTTTTTTTTTTCTAAATTCTGCACGAAGAGTGACTTTGAGAGTCACGAGCTGAGTAAATTGTCCAGAATATTCAATGCCCCTGATACTCTGACACCGTCAGCATCAGAGTGAACTGAACGTGTCAGCCAGAAATGGGAAGCTAAAACGCACCCTGAATGGCTGATCTGTTTTTTATTGCCTAAGTGAATGTGAGCCTGTTTTCCAGTAGATTTGGTGCTTAATCAATTTACCTTGGCCAAATTCCCCGGCATCCTAACCTTTCAGCTGACATTGATACAGATTTACAGTGTTTGCAAACGTGGAGCGGAAAGAGCCGTCACATGGCCTTTTGTAGGCAATGATGCAAGTTCAATTGGAAGCAAAGATGTCAAGATATTAAATATTCTGTCACATGTTCCTGTAATGGAGTCACAGCCACAGGGAATCTTTTGACAAGGACTCGTTTCATCTGATCAGATACATTTTCTTTCCATTTTCCCCTCTTTTTTTCTCTCTCTCTTACCTCTTCCTCATTTACAGACATAATCAAGGAAGAAACACAACAGATAAAAGACACACATACACCCCAACACTTAACTAATCTCAATAATAGTGACAAAACACTGTTTATTAAATATATATATATATATATATATATATATATGTTTGTGTATTATATATGATATATATATATGATATATATGTATTTTATTGCTATACTATTTGAGCACAAATAAACTATCCATTAAGCGACAAGCCATTTATATTTATGAGTATTATTGTACTATATTAATGATATTTATGAGTGCGGTACCTAATGAGGATAATTGGTGCTTCTGAACAAACAGATTAATTGATGCTATCAGTCACGGCAATGGATGAGTTAGTAATGGCTGATTAGAAGGCAAAAGAGATCAAAATTAGGACTGAATTGTTAGGTTTCAATTGTGAGATATTTTCTTTTGAATTATAATTATAATGACTAGATAATTACATTTGAATTACTGATGAACAGATTAATATTGAAGCTGAATTTTAGAGGTTTAATTACTTATAACATGAAAAGTACACTCTAAGAAAAGTCTGTAATGTTCTGTGTTAATATGAATTCATTTTCCGCACTGATTTTCCACAGGTGTTTTACCTGTATTTTGAATTAGGCTTTGCATTGTGTTGTGTTTTATGGTTGAAGGAAATATCTGTAAACTTAAGGGGCGTTTACACGGTACTGTTTTCATCTAGAATCTCATTTACATGACAATGGTGTTTTGAAACGTATGAAAATGGATTTTAAAGTGCAAGTTTCTGAAAATAATACTGTTACCTGTTAACAATACTGTTATTAAACTACAAAAATGCTAATTTGTGAAAACAGTGATGTCATGCGCATGCATAGGCCTATTACATGTTTGTGTAATGTATTTTACAGTGTTATATCACCAACTACTGGCCTGGCATACATATTACAGCATTATAAGTCGCTTTAGTGGATCTGTGTGAACGACCGTTTTGACAACATTGTTGTCTGCACACACACAGGTTTGTTTTTATGGTTTATGGGGACTCTCCATAGGCGTAATGGTTTTTATACTGTACAAACCGTATTTTCTATTGCCCTACACAAACCCTACCCCTAAACCTACCC